ACTATTTGTTCAAAATTGGAGATACAGATTAAACCGGTTTGATGACTTTTAAAAACAACTTATTGGTGTAAACTTAATGTCTTATTTTGTACACATATAAAGACATGTACAACAATATTATTAATACTTCAAATCCAGCTTTAAAAAGTTTAGCATAATGTGAATGATGACTTTCCTCAAAGAATGTTGGTGATGAAGAAGATAAATAAATCTAAAGTAGACATTACCTTTGTTTTGAAAAACATTTTTTAATGAGACAAACTTCTCAAGAATGACAATTAATAGTAGAAAGAAAATAGCCTTAAAATTTTTAAAAAATATTTTTCTTTTATTTATTTAGAGAGGAGAGGGGAGGGAGAAAGAGAAACATCAAAGTGTGGTTGCATCTCGCGCACCCCATGCTGGGGACGTGGCCTGAAACCCAGACATGTGCCCAATACTGGGAATCAAACCAGTGACTCTTTGGTTCTCAGGCCCGCGCTCAATCCACTAAGCCACACCAGCTAGGGCAAGTTTATCAAAAACATTTACTGATGCTATTTCTTTATACACAGACAAATACTCATAAATTATGTGTGTGTGCAGAGTCCTGTGTACATCTGGAAGTGTACATCAGTGGACAGGTCCTTTGCTCTGGACTCAGTCTCTGATGGGGGCTTAGGCACATGACCTTGCACCAGGAGAGTTCCTTTGGGTGACTTTCCAGTCTTCTCTCCTACTCCTTTAAAAGCAACAGAGACAATGAGATAAAGAAATTGTGCCAGTTTGTGGTACTGCTGGGTGGTATGAAATAATCACGTTTTCCAATTAAAGGACTTCTCCAACTTACTTTTTCCAGTCTCCCAGCTGCCTTTTGATTATGTCTGCTAAATGGTTAATGAATAGTTTGCTTTTTCAAAAACTCTAACTGTTCCTTTCATTAGATGAGGCATGAAACATCTTGGCTGCCAAACAAAGTCAGGGCAGGCGGATAGGCAGGAAGGAAGGAAGGCAGGAAGGGAAAAGAGAAGAGAAAAGGAAGAAAAAGGAAAGAAGAAAAGCATTTCCCCCAAATGCTTCAACAGACCACAGGGTTTTTATGTAGAACTATAAAGTATGTTCACCAGAGAGTGCTTATTCAAGATTAAATGGTTTAGAAATAAGCAACCTTCAATTTCCCTCCAGCTATAAAAATCCAGGGTCCTCTGAATGACCCCAAGCACTAATGAGTGGCCTTAAGAACTGAGGGCTTTGTGATGGACTTCTTCCTCTGTAAGGTGATTTTAACTCCCGGGAGCACCTGGGAGCCTTCTAAAGTAACTTGGCATCTTCCAGCCATCTCCTCCGCGGCGTCTCATCTCCCAGCCTTGGACCAGCACACCAGAGAGGCAGTTGCTACTTTCTCCACCAGTGGGTGGTATTCTCTCCCTCTCTCCAGATACACACATGCCACACACAGAGCAACAAATGCAGATGATCTGATTTCTACACAACGAGTGCAAGTTTTATGAACTTCTTCATAGATTGATTCAACCAAGAATGCCAACCATGTGTGAGAAACTGCCTTAGGTCTTGGAAATGCGGAGAGAAATAAAAAGTGGTCCTTGCCTTTAATGGGTTAGAAAGATGATTTCAAATTTCATCACCTCTTGTCTAAGGTAGTACGTTTAACCATGAGTGGGTGGGCCAGGGTGTCTGGGAAAGCAGCATGTGATATTTTTAGACATATTTATTTGTTTCGAGAATATGTAAGAATCTATTATCCTTCATGCATTTTATTACCTCCTTGTCTTTTTTTTTTTTTTTAATACTTTGCTTTTACTTTGAGGCCATTTCTTTCTCCTTTTCCACTCTCAAATCCCAGATCAAATTTTACCACTTGCTTAGTTTTCCCTGACACCTTCAGTTTTACAGTTGCCTTCCTGTTATATACCTATTATAGCTCTTAGCTATTACAATTGCACTAGCTTATGAAAAGAGCATTATTTCCTAGTTCATACTAAGCTCTCAATAAACGTATATTTGAGGGAAGAAAAAGAGAGACAGGGAGTTTTGTGTGGTCCAGACTTTGCCTAAACTGAATTCTTGTATGAAAGAGCAGAGTGTTGTATGATTTTTTTGTTGTTGTTTGGTTTTTGTTTCTGTATAATCATTGCTATCCTTTTATTCAGCAGAGTACCCCTGTTTGTCCAACCAATTTGCTGAAATTCAGAGAAAATAAAAAACAGAACTTGTTCTACATATTACCCTTAAGAAGCTTGTACTGTTCACCACCTTCTTGTTTGTAACACAAAAATACACCCAGAGTAACTATATTTTCTTTATTGTCATTCCTCAAGAATATTTAGATGGAGAGCTTTTAGAATAATGTCCCCAAGTGGCTACTTTCTTGAATCTTAACTATGGATGTTTCTCCTACAAAGATTTAAAAAATAATAACTTCTAAGGAAATCCTTCTACAAAACCTTGCCACATACACGCCAGAGTGTTTTGAAATTTGACTGAGGTTAGAGAGGTGGTGATCTGTACATTGAAATATGTCATTATTATTTAGCAAATAGGGGGAAAGGCCTCGGATAGTGATTACCAGGAAATAAGGGTTTTTATTCACTTATTTAAAAATATGGTTTCCAAATGCAAATAAAGCACAGTACCTATTTACAGAAATAGTAGCAAGATTTAAGAGGCAATGAAATGTTTAAGATGTTGATTGTTTCATTACAAACCGGAATTCGTATGTACAGAATTATATACCACATGCCTCCTTCAGCGTATGATATGCTATTACCCCACTCTTTGTGGACATAGTTATTATTTCATGATAATAGTCTATAAATATTTATATATTTTCAAACAGAGGGTGTTTTTAAATCTCATTCTTTAAATGAAACACTGAGAGCTCTCAAAAAAGTGGACCTGACAGCTGGGAAAAATTACAAAGTTGTGCAGTAGAGATAGTCTATACGGTGTGCTGGCTATGCTGGTTTATACTAACAACTACTCCCACAGCGCTGCTACTCACTCCATCTACTAATGTCGTCAGTAAGGATGATGGTAACTCCTTTTATTTGTATAGACTTTTACATATTATAAGCCTTCGCTTACCTATTTTTGATTCTCATAATAATTTTTCCTTGGGAAAACTGTAAAGCTAACAAAGTATCATATGCAATGAGATGTTCAGCCCTGTGTTATATATAATAATGAAAAAAATCAAAATATAAATGCCAGGCTTTATCAGAATGTTTTACAAATATGGTTAATCCATATGTTATGTGGTTAAATACATTAATACAGAGCCTATATATCAAAAAAGAAAAATCCTTGTGTTATTCTGTTACAAGAAAACAAGAAAAATATAAAATTATATTTGTACTACTATTATAACTAGAGAAACATTTCAGTGTATTTAGACAATGCCTCAATGGTAACTTGGTCAAATATAAATTTTCTTATGATGGCACAGAAAAGCAGTAAAATGTTTGAGTTATTTTAGATTTCCAATAACACTGCTATTGTTCTTTATGCCATATACATGTTTATATTTTAAAATAAAATTAAGTGCATACACTTGTAATAATAAATATTTGCCAAATGCATGTATTACATTGAAACGATGCATCTCTTCAGGGGAAAATCTCTTATGGAAAAATGACTCTGGGTTGCTTTCAGCAGAATGTGATTCTCAGCCTCCTCACCCCACCCCTTGTGCCCCTGAATCGCCAGGGTGATTTCAAAGAACACTGCTACTCGGGGTGTCGCACCCGGGGGAGTTCCGCCTGGTCTGGGGAGGGCCCGGGCATGGCTTGTTTTTCTTTTCAAGTTGTCCAGGTAATTCTGTTGTGCAGCTTGGATTGAGAACAATTCAATTGATTCTAATAACCAAAGCTTTATATTTTTAAATATTAAATTCCCAGAATTTTCATCTCTTGCACAAATAAGACTTTCAAGACTAAAAATGCTTTTCGGGTGAAGACTGGTCTGATGTAAGGAATCATGAATGCAAAGCACCTTTATGCTATCAGAGTAGCAACGACTTAAAAATAATAAAATACACTGTTGGTGAGAATGAACAATGCCATACACTACTTATAGAAATGTGAATTAAATGTATATCGATCAACTTCTCTGTAGGACTGTTTGACAATATATATTCAAAGATTTAAATATATGTAAATGCTTTTGTTCTTGGAATTCCACTAGAAGAATTTAGCCTTAGGAATTGAGCATATTGACAAAGATGAGTTTATGTTTCCAAAGTGTTGCTTACAATGTAAAATATTGTAAACAATCACAATATCACAAGTGTGGATTAACTGTATTATTGTGTATTCATACATGGTACTAGTATAATAATTCTGTAGTTAAAGGAGTTAACATGGAAAGATACAACATATTGATAAATGAAAAAAGTTATAAAACAGCATAATTCCATTTTTGTTAAAATATAGAACATATATCTGCATATGTGTATATATATACAGGTATGTGTATATATGTATATATGTGCGTATATGTATATAGAGAGAGGTGGGATAACTATGTATTAAAATATTAAAATACTTAAGATAGTTTTTATTGTCTGTTCTATACTCTCATGTATATTCTACTTGTTTTTTCCCACTAAAAGTAAGTACTAGTATTACACATAAAGAGCAAAACGTTTTTTTAAATGAAAAATATATATTTTGAAAAATGAGGACTTCTTACCTTTATCTGACCCAAATGAATGAACTACTACAGAACTTCTTCTATCTTCACTTTGCCCAGCTGTGAAAAATGAGCTCTTTGATAGTTAGAAACAGCTATTTCTTAATATGCTAAACTTCTCCAATATATTTATTTTCAAAGTTCATTAACAGATGGCATATCATCTTTGATCACAGTCTGATTAAAATCAGTAAGGGTGACATGTAATGAATGAATTGAAATGTTTCTCAATGTATTTTTATGGGGTTGTCTTCCTTGACATCCGTAATTAATAAGTGGTGTTTTTGTTTTGTGTTGTTTTTTCACTGTAGGCAGTTCAGGACCATCATCCTCCATTGCCATAGCTGGCACCAACCACCCTGCCATCACAAAGACAACATCTGTTCTTCAAGACGGCGTCATAGTCACCACTGCAGCTGGAAACCCACTGCAGAGTCAGCTGCCCATCGGGAGTGATTTTCCTTTTGTTGGCCAGGAGCACGCACTCCATTTTCCATCCAACAGCACTTCAAACAACCATCTTCCACACCCCTTGAACCCCAGCCTCCTCAGTTCTCTACCTATCTCTTTGCCAGTGAATCAACAGCATCTCCTAAACCAGAATCTATTAAATATCCTCCAGCCTTCAGCAGGAGAAGGCAAGTCTGAGATCAACCTCCACCCCTTAGGTTTTCTCAACCCGAATGTAAACGCTGCTTTAGCTTTTCTCTCCGGTGACGTGGACGGGCAGGTATTGCAGCCTGTTCACTTTCAGCTCTTAGCAGCCCTGCTTCAGAACCAAGCCCACGCAGCTGCCATGCTCCCCCTGCCACCTCTCAATCTGACCATCTCAGATCTTTTTCAACAGCAAAATACCCCTTTACCCTCATTAACACAGATGACAGCCCCACCAGACCATTTGCCAAGCAATCAGTCAGAGAACAGCCAAGCTGAGACCCTTTTAACCAGCCCCCTGGGGAACCCTTTACCAAGCTTTGCAGGCAGTGACACTACTTTTAACCCCCTGTTCCTCCCAGCTGTCACTGGGGCCTCAGGATTAATGGCCTTGAATCCCCAGCTGTTGGGAGGTGTCCTGAACTCGGCATCGGCCAACACCGCTAATCATCCAGAGGTTTCCATAGCAACTTCCTCCCAGGCAACCACTACCACAACCACTACATCATCAGCAGTGGCAGCACTGACTGTCTCAACACTTGGTGGGACAGCAGTGGTGTCAATGGCAGAAACATTGCTGAATGTATCTAATAATGCTGGGAATACACCTGGTCCAGCTAAACTCAACAGTAACTCTGTGGTGCCACAGCTACTTAACCCTCTACTGGGGACAGGTTTGCTTGGTAAGTTACATTTTTTCACAAAGTTTTACAAAAGAAACGTTTTTCTAATTCTATTTTCTCCTTTTTAAAACTCCATTTTGTCACACTATTTTTAACAATGTTTTTGTTATGTCACAGCTTGCTTAAGGAACTAAATATAATAACACCCACACACAACCGTAGTTATACAAACATGAAAATGACTTTTTTCTTTTCCCCTATTCTAGCAATGCTAAATATTTTAATTTGCTTTCTCATCTTCTAATTCTGATGCCACCTAAACCTAACCTACTCGTCATTCTCTAAGCCAAGTAGAGTCTTATTTTTCAAATAATAAAGCACAGGTACATCTTAAAAATAACTTTCGTTTGAATTTTAGTTGGTGTGGCATCACAGGGTTAGTATGAGCAGCTGCAGTGTGGATGGAAACAGTTTGAGGAAGTGTTTTTCCAGGTGATCCCTAAATAAACAGAACTAAATACTTATCCAGCAAAATAAGAAAGAAGGCATACAAACATTCAAAATTAAAGTTTGCCCAAGTTCGAGGAAACAGCCCTGATAGCTACTGCTAGATTTATTCAGACAGGATTATTCTGTAAAATTTTGTGGCTTAGGAACAAAATCCTTCATGTAGATTATACTATCACAAAAACGTTAGAAAATAATGTCAAGTATATTCAATTGATTGACGCAAGTAACTATAATATATAGAGATGGTTTCCATAAAGTCTGGAAACATTGGCAGATATACTTGATATTCTCAAGGATATGGTCAATGTATGTAAACATGTATTTTTATATATTTATATATAAATATATATGTTTCCAGAGTTATGGACACCTTTATAATCTAGTTTAATGAGTTCTATTTGGCATTGAAATCAATGGAGCTAAATAATCTAAAAAGCATAATAGGTTCACATATTTCAAGTTATGGGACAATTTCTATGACATCATCCTCAAAATAACTTCAGTGTAATTTGAAATCAAGGCTATTTTCAATTTTGAATATAAGTTTAGTTATTAAATAATCCTTCCTGATTATATGTTTATTTTTAATGATCATAACAATGATTTCTTTTGTATTGTTAGATATCTTTATAATTTTAATTTTTAGGCAACCAACCTTTTACTTAAAAATAAAATACATAGTTCCAGACCAAATCAAATTTTATTTGGTGGTAATTATTGGTAACTGTGACTTGAGAACTAAATTTTGTAAATAAGCCCTGATTAGAGCCACTCATTTTAATCATCTGGTCAAATACCTATGATTGCTAAAACAGTTTAGAACTAATTTCTACCTTTAATTGTCAGTGCTTTAATAAAAATAGTTCCAAGGAATTTTTAACACAAGTTCGATATAAGGACTGGCTAGTGGAGAGAGCAAAGACTAGTCTCTCTGTGATGTAAAATTTTAAAAAAAGTAATTATGAAAGATAAACTTAAATAGTAAATACTATTCCCTTACCACTTAGTAAGACTTTGAAGAGAAAAAAAGGAAAATTATCATGTAAGTCTAGTTATTAGTTTTTGTTTCAGGAATCATCAGGCACAAAGATAGGCATAAGATTGCCAAAGAATCACATTGACTTATACTTTATGTTTTTCAAACTATAGGTGACATGTCCTCAATAAACAATACTTTGAATAACCATCAACTGACTCATCTACAGTCGCTGTTAAACAACAATCAGATGTTTCCTCCAAATCAGCAGCAGCAGCTTCTTCAGGGCTACCAGAATCTCCAGGCATTTCAAGGACAGTCCGCAGTTCCTTGCCCAGCTAACAGTAACCCTATGGCTTGTCTGTTTCAGAACTTTCAGGTACTCTCCTTCCCTGCGTTACTTTAGTAGAAAACAATGTCTAAGTTTTTTTTTAAACACTTACTTTTGGGGGAAGAGACAGAACAAGGAAGTTACACGCCCTTCCACCTCTACTCACTGTCATTTCTCAATAATGAATACTTAAACATTCTAGTCTTGTATGCAAAAGTTATTTTATTTTGTCTGAAGCACGTCAGTGGTCCTTTTGAAGCAGTTAGAAAAACTGATCTTGGTACCCTCCTAAACAATTTTGAGGGTTTAATATCATTGCTCTCATGATTAAAATCCACATCGTTAACATGCCTACTTTGCCTACCTCACTCTCCAGCCCCTGCCCTTACTAACGTCTTCCTGGCTTCAGCCACATGGTCTTCTTTTAGTTAGACAAACTGAATAAATCCCTGATAGATTTAGGAGCTAGATGGAAAGAGTAATAATAAATATAAGAAGAAAATAAAGAATTTTTAAAAATAGTCTTGGGCCCTGACTGGTGTAGCTCAGCGGGCTGGGCATCATCCCGCAAACTGAAAGGTTGCCGTTCGATTCCCGGTCCGGGGACAGGTGCCTGGGTTGCTGGCCAGGTCTCCAGTAGGGGACGTGCGAGAGGCAACGAGTGGATGATTCTCTCACATACCAATGTTTCTCTCCCTCTCTTACTCCCTCCATTTCTGTTTCTCTAAAAATAAACAAATAAAATCTTTAAAATTAAAAAAATAATAATAACCTTGGGATTTGAGAAGGCTCTTTCAGCAAGACACAAAACAAAGTAGTTTTTAAAAAAGTTACATAATTGAATACATAAACCTTTAAAATCTGTATGATTAATCCTCGGATGGTATTCTAACCAAATTAAAGTGACAACCTGGAAGAAAATATTGCATACTAATAACAAATAACTGATATCTGTAATATAAAAAGAGCTCTTACAAATTAGGAAAAAAAGATTATTGATTAGAAAAATGAGCAACAAGTATGAATGATCAAGTCACAGAAAATAAAAGATAAATTATTAATAAACATGAAAAGAATAATCAGAGTTATATAAATTACAACACTGATATGTCATTGGATTGATGATATCTTGCTGATAGTGGTGTGGGGTAATGGATTCTTTCAGATATATTGTTGGTCTGATTATATGCTGATACAGTCCTTTTGGAGGGTAATTTGACAGTTTATCAAGTTTTTAAATAAACATGCCCTTTGACCCAGAAGTTTAACTTCTATGTATCTATTCTAGAGAAATCTTAAAATGTGAACAAAAGGGCACAATTCAAAATGTTCAGTACAACTACTTAAGCATCCATCAGTAGAGGTGTTGTTAAATACATTATGGTAGATTTATCTATCTAATAGTTTAAAAAATTAGCTAGACTTACATAATCTGATATGAAAAGATCCACAAGACTGCAAGACTCCAGTTCTGCAGTACCACAAAAGAAAACTGAAATACAATACCATTTATGTGAAAGATAGAAAGAAGAAAAGGAGGAAGGAAGGAAGGAAGACCAGATATTCACCTACACACTTTAATGCATTAAAAATAAGTATATGCAAGGAAATGGGATTAGAATGGGATGGGAAAGTACAGGTTTAGGTGGGGTGTAATGATGAAGAAAACTTTTGTGTTTTTTTTGACATGAGAAAAATATTCATAAACATGTAATTTAGAAAGGGAGAGGAAATGCTTGACAATGTCATTGAGAAAACAAGTGGATAAAGCCTGAAGAGACGTTATTTGATTTAGCAATGAGAACATCACCAGTGAATTGGAAGAATGAAGTTTTGATGAAGTAGTGAAAGCAAGATCTAGAAATGGATGAAAGGATGAAAAAGATTAGGAATGAAAGAGTGAATTAAAAGTTTTCAAAAACTTATCTATGAAGAACTTGAGAAAAACAGGGTAGTGCCCAAAGGCAAGTGTAGGTTGAATACCAATTTTTAAAATAGGGAAGCCATGCACATTGTTGTATGCTAAAGGAAAGAAGCCAAAAAAGTTGAAGAGATGGTGATTACCAGAGGGAACGGGGGTGAGGAGGGGCTAGAAGAGGGTAAAAGGGAGGTAAATGACTTTGGGTGGTAACACGCAATATAATATTCAGGTCATATATTAAAGAATTGTACATGTGAAACCCTACATAATTTTATTAACCAGTGTCACTGCAATAAATTCAATTTTAAAAAAAGTGGAAGAGATGGAAGATAAAGAAGAGAAGGATATTAGATTCCTGAGGAAGGGCTTGGGATCCAAAGCATAAATGCAGAACTTACTCTCAGAGAGCAGAAAGGGCTCCCTTATACTGGGAAAATGGGCAGGATTTGGGACATATGCAGTTGCAGAGAAAGATATGCAGCCAGAAGGCAGGGAGGAGCAGAGTGTAAGAATTGTGAGAATTCTTAACCTATGAACTCCGTTTTCTGTGTTAAGTAAGGCCACCTACTAAGAACAGTGCAGGAGATGGGATAGCAGCTGGCTTGTGGAAGTGGGTGAAGATTTGAACAGTGGTGAAGGAGAGTGCTGCCTAACTGGAGGATCACAGGATTGATGGAAACAATAAGCTCCCAGCTGCGATTGGAAGCCAGATACTCAGAAACCTCACTGTAGATATAGATGAAGCAGGCAGTTGAATTGATTCAGGACTGGAATTCTCTCTGGTAGGTGTAGACAAGGGGAGGATGGCAAGAGAGTGGCTGATGTGCTGATGGGTCTCAAGTCCTGGTTTAGTGGGGAAGGATGGGAAAACAAGAAGGGAGTGATCGCTGTGGGGAAAATCCCAAGTATCAAAGGTCTGGAGCAGCAATTCTTAGATGGGGTTGGTGAAATTAGAATAACCTCGGGGACGTGTTCAAACTGCACTCATCCTTCCTGCCGTGAGCATTGATACTCTTCCCTGGTGGGCGTTCCCTCCCTTTCACCTCTTCCCAACTGAGAATCACTTCTGTAGGGAGCCATGGTCCCTGTTGACAACATGGTGGTGTCCCTCAGCTGATGGCCTGGTAAGGTTGAAAAATAGGTGTTACTACCCTACCTGAAGACTAAAAATTTGGTGTTATATCAGAAATATTTTATTGTTAAGAAGGAAATATATGTTTATTTTGTGTTATGTTGTATGTATTTCACTTAATTCAGTAGAAATCATTTTCAAAATGGGGTTCTCTTTGTAATCTGAGCAGTGTTGGTGACTGACTTCCAAGTCGTAAAACCTATACTGATACTGACTACTCGGGGTCATCACCTTAAACCATACAAGGTCCAACAGCCTCAACTTTAATTTTTCTAGAGGATGTTTAGTAATAGTTTTTTAAGAAATCTGTTGAATGATTTTAACCAAAGAAACAGTACCCAAATATAATCCAGACATAAGCTTTTCTATACAGAGTGGCTTTTTATTTCATTTTTGAGTCTTGTTTTTTCTTTACATTTCCTTCTTTGTTATATCTGTTTGTCTTTTGGTAGATCTTAAAATTATGTCTTTCTCTCTGAGGTCTTTAAAATTATTTTTTTCTCTCTCACTGCTTCCTGTTTCTTTAAGGTGAGAATGCAGGAAGATGCAGCTCTCCTAAACAAAAGAATAAGCACTCAGCCGGGGCTCACAGCGCTTCCTGAGAATCCAAATGCTACACTCCCGCCTTTCCAAGATACATCTTGTGATCTGCAGCCGAGGATTGACCCATCTCTTGGTCAGCAGGCGAAGGACGGCCTTGTTGTGGGTGGCCAAGGCGATGCCTCCGTAGATGCCATTTACAAGGCGGTCGTCGATGCGGCCAACAAAGGAATGCAGGTTGTCATCACGACCGCAGTCAACAGCACGACCCAGATCAGCCCCATTCCAGCTCTGAGTGCCATGAGTGCCTTCACTGCTTCCATTGGTGACCCGTTAAGTCTCCCCAGTGCTGTCAGTGCGGTCATTCATGGACGAAACATGGGCAATGTCGATCATGACGGGAGGCTGAGGAATGCAAGAGGGGCTCGCCTGCCTAGGAATCTGGACCATGGGAAAAACTCAAACGAGGGAGATGGGTTTGAATATTTCAAGTCAGCAAGTTGCCACACATCTAAAAAACAGTGGGATGGGGAGCAAAGCCCTGGAGGGGAGCGAAACAGGTGGAAGTGTGAGGACTTTTTAGATCATGCAGGCCATGTTCACAGTAGTCCTTGTCACGAAAGATCTAACAATGTCTCTACACTGCCATTTCTGCCTGGGGAACAGCATCCAATTCTGTTACCACCAAGAAACTGTCAAGGGGATAAAATTCTGGAGGAAAATTTCAGGTATAATAACTACAAAAGAACTATGATGAGTTTTAAGGAGAGGCTAGAGAATACTGTGGAAAGATGTGCACACATTAACGGGAACAGACCGCGACAGAGTCGTGGCTTTGGAGAGCTGCTGAGCACCACAAAGCAAGACCTGGTCCTAGAGGAGCAGTCTCCAAGCTCCTCAAACAGTTTGGAAAGTTCTCTGGTCAAAGACTACATCCATTACAATGGAGACTTTAATGCCAAAAGCATTAATGGGTGTGTGCCTAGCCCTTCAGACGCTAAAAGCATTAGTAGTGAAGATGACCTACGGAATCCAGACTCCCCATCTTCAAATGAGTTGATACATTATAGACCAAGGACGTTCAATGTTGGCGACTTGGTCTGGGGCCAAATCAAAGGACTGACTTCCTGGCCTGGAAAATTAGTAAGAGAAGACGACGTTCACAATTTATGTCAACAAAGCCCCGAGGAAGGGAAGGTATACCAATCTTTATCCATTGTCAAATACTAACCTTTATTCCGATATCAATTATTATCTCTTGTTATCATCACTTTGGAGTCTTTGGATTTGAAATTAGGATTCTCCATGACTCATTGAGGTCTCATAAACTTCTGGAGCATAAAGTGAAGCGGGGAAGGTTATAGTCACCAAATGTCATATCATCAAGGGGTGAGTTGTGAAACATCTGTAGATTCCACCAAGGCTCGGAGTGGTTCTAACCTAGGAACCAGAGGTGACAGGAAGTGCCAGGGAACAGCTCTCCCTGCGTGTGTTCCATGTGACCCTTAGTGCTGGGGCGAGGGTAAAATCAGGTGGAGCTGCAGCCATATCTGGAAGCAGCAGGTAACGTCTGGAAGCAGAATGGTGTCTCCTTTCAGGAAAAGTTCTGGGCCTTTATAACATATGGAAATGTTTAACCCCATAGTCTGGTTCTACTTAACACAATCTGATCATATAAATTAAATGAAAATGCCATGAAACTACCATTCAATTTAGAAGAAATTAGTAGGGGTCTTCTGGTCTTTCTTCCCCCTCACGGTGGGTAGAAGTGATTCACTAGGCCAGAAATATGCAGAATGTTTAAAGCAGAAAAATTTACATTGGACCAGGAGGAGAGAATAATGCGTATTCCCCACATATAGTGAATAAACTTATAATTTTTCATCTCCTTAGGAAATAAAAATTACTCTTCCAGGTATATAGTATTATTCTCTTAAAGAGTATATTGTATAAAGCTATTTCAACTCTGCTCAAACCTCCACTGGCACTTAGGTTTAATGGCAGGAAACCAAAAGCATTTTTGCCAGCACAATAAAAGGATTGTCTTTCTCCAAATGACCGGGAGGTCCTTCAACCCGTTGCTTATAATGCCTAATATGTACTTGTCAGGATACATTCTGGGCATAATGTTTCTATGTTTGATAAGAAAATGAACTCCATACTCTTATTCACAAAACATTTTATTCTCTAATCTCTCTGAGACCAGGCAAACATTCTTTAGGTTGATAAACCTAAATATTTTTGACAGTTTATTAAAAAATAATTAGAAACAGCAAAATTGGGCTTTTATGATATAAATGGAACTGCTGCAAATACAAGATGTAGACATTGAACTGTTTTACAATGTCTGTGCAAATGAAACCAAGTCTTTCTTAATGTGCCATTTTATAAAAGCTTAACTGAAGAAAAGATTATGGCCCCCCTCCCTTTCCTGGAAACCTTCTTCCTGTCCTAAATGCCTGTCTAAATATCTTTTTATGTCCCCAGGGGAATAGAGGTATGCACATTTAACATAGTTCACTTTAAGCAATAGTCCTAATCTTCTGATTAGTCTTGTTGGCAAACTCCTAAAACTGAGTTCCTCACTGATATTTGGGGAGATGTACTTTTTTTAAAAAGTCATTATCTAAGAGTCCAAAAAACATTTATTTTCCATCATTTAAATAAGCAACTGTTTTTCATTTCCAAAAACCCAGATTCTTCTTCCTTATTGTAAGCAATAGATGAATTCTTAATAGGAAGCATAAAACTGTTTCTGTAAATTCAAATATCTCCCCTCCCATTGGCTGACATTGTAGTTTACATTCTCAAAACATTGATATCAAGATACACTACAGATGTTTTTAGTAGTTCAGAGAAAATAATTCAAAATATACGTTTAGAGGTGAAAAACTGAAAACATGTGTGTAATGAAATATTAATAACACATGAAATATTTATCTGTCATTAAGAAGCAAGGTATAATAATCGTAAATGCTCCAGGGCACTTACTGTTTTTTAAAACCTCAAGTCTTTTCAGGGCCAACCTCATTTTTTCACATGGAAAACAAAGTGCTACTTCACAAAAAATCTTTTTTTTCTCCTGTGGTTCACAAAACAAAGGAAGGGCTTCCTCATGCCTTATTTAACGATGCCCAGCTAGCCAAAGAGTGTTCCCAATTTACAGCACCAGAAAAGGCAAAATTTCAAACATAGGTCTGACTTCAAGCCAAATGGCCTTTGCCTAATGTCTTGGTGATCCTGGTTCATCAAGAGAAAGTTAAACTGTTTAATTTCTGTGTAACACAAAGCCCGATCTATTTGAAAAGACTCCCAGTGAAACATTTTTTTAAATTTGTACTCATATTCAAGTGAACAAAGTGTGGTGTGAATTTTCTTTACGTAGAGCCCCTAGTGCTCAGCGATGTCAGATCAAGTCTTGCACGTTAATAACCAGACCACTGATTTTAAAAAGCTAGGCAGTGCATTAGGACTTCTTCTACATACTGTGGCAATGCCTGACATTTTAAGAAAGTCAAAAGAGAAAGATAGAGGCCAACTCTATGAACAATTTGTGTATTATAGTAAGATCTTATTAACTCCACCTTACCAATGTGGAAGGGACCATTTTCCCTAGTGTTTATCTTTGTAGTATCTCAGAGGAAATGGTTTTCCAGACAATTTTCTTACACATTATCCTTTAAAAACATCTTTGCCTCTCAGTTTTTCATACTATTTCTATGTCTACCAAAGCAAATTAATCCAAGATCCTGTCAGATCCCACCAGATAAAATCTATGTTAACTCAGGTTTTAGAATAGATTTATTATCTTATCTCCCTACCACCGCTCCACATCCCACAAACCTATCATTTGTTTTCTGGGGCAGCCTTTGTTCTCAGCAAGCTGTTCCAAATTCTTTCTGGAAGCAGGACGAGTAGGAAAAGATAAATAATTAATTGACAAGACTGCAGGTTACTGACTCAGAGCAAACCAGGCGCCTGTCCTGTGTTCTGGTTGTGCGGGCGGCCTCCAGGCTGAGAGGTCGGTGCTGAGGGTGGAGCGCTGATGTCTGCCAGGGGCTGGCGTCTCCACCCCGCGCTGTCCAGGAGTTGATGCTTTAGTCAATTGTTTGTCATGACAGCAAATGACTTGTTCAGGTTACGGTTTTAGAAAGGCACTTTCAGTGTTTGGTGGGGTATGACATGTAGCAGAACTATGAATAAGCCACTAGAAATATTCTGCCGTTTCTGAGATTCCTTCCTAAGAGGTATGGTTTCTAAACATCAAATACTGCATGAACACAGTCTACAGAGAACTAGAGAGAAAACAAGGTGTGGCCAGGAGGAGGCCTGGGCTTTGGGCATTCTGACATGGTGTGAGCTTCATCCCAGCTCTTCCAGTTACCACAATGGCCCTGGGTAGGCAGATTAATCTCCCAGAACTGCAGTCTTCACGCCTCTCCAGTGGAGATATTAATTCCTACTCAGAATGATGTTTTAAGAATTAAATGAGATACCATAAATAGCTTATCCAGCACACAAAAGAGACTCAGCAAAAATGAACCTCCTCACCCCTGTTCTCTGTGTAAGACCAGCTGGTTACTGTGGCTTCCACCATTACAGAATTGTGGCCGTTCTACCTTAGTTAGTGTTTATCTATGCATTATTGATGAGTACAGGGTTTACTAACCAGGTTGGGTATAAAAGGATTATAAAGAATATATTCAGTGAATGAAATAGTTTATAACTTCTTTATAAGCCTCAGCACATCATACAAATTGGCATATCTGATTATAAATTAATATTAGCTGTTCATTTCAAGCAGGAGTTCGACTTGGAAGCGTTTCAAAGCTCTTAGCTTGTAGAGTGAATTTGAACGTCCCCTTCTCAGAGTGTCTAAAAACTGTAAACTGAGACTTTCTCTCCCCACATCCCTTCATACCAACCAACAACATTAGTTGGTAGAGATTTTTAACCATCTGTGAAAAGTTGGACTGAGTCACCCCTGTATAATCCTGAACCAATACTGAAGCTGTGCGACAGCGCAGAGGGCATCGTGTGCCTTATCACACCATTCCGGAAGTGGTATCTCCTACTTACACCTTTTTTTTTCCTTTGGTTATCAGTTTGTAATGAAGTATCTCCTGGAAGAGATTTATACTTTTTCTAAATAAATGCAAGCTTCTCTCTAAACCCTGAACTCTTTATAGTTTGAGGTTCAGTGGCCAAGAATGCAGTGCTCTAGCGCATGGTCATTCATGGCCAGAGAGACGCGCTGCCACATCTTGGCGACGGACTGGAAAATTCTTGGAAAGGAAACCAGCTTCCATTGGCGTTACACCTAATCGCCGTCCTGTGCAAACATTTTAAGGCTATGCAATTGCGGGGGAAGACAGTTATCTTTATGTACTTATTTCACTAATCATTTAAACATAGGAAAAGTGCTCTTGTTTTCTAAAACAAATTTTGTAAGTCTCATCTTTGATCCGACATTAAGTACCTGAAAGGGATGATTCTCTTTTTTCTTTTTTAATAACAAAAAATAAAATTCTTATTTTCTTGTGAGTAGACAGACCATTTTTACTCTTTCTGAACATTGCCCCATTGGTCTTCACAATTTCATTATTGTAACATCCGATATGGATTCTGACTCAAGTCTAATTTAGGAAAGGATTTATTTCTAGATTGGCACCAAAATGCTTCTTTTCAATGAAACATTTGTTGTTTACAAATAGAGATATCTCCTGATTACCCAGAGTTCTGCATTTCAGGGCAACAGCACCTGATTAAATAAAGACGGGTTTTGAAAGGCAATGGGTGGGGTGCTCCTTCTCGAGACTCACACTGTGACTTTTCCCACACCATTATATTTGGCAGATAGAGATAAAAATAGTTCCTAGATAGTCATTCAAAACAGACAAAACGGATCATTAAAATGTATAAGAGAATCTATTTGGGGACAATTCACTTCCTGTATGTCAGCTCAGCATCACATGCTCACACATTTTTGACAGTGTGGATCCAAAGACAGAGACAGCCCGCCATCATATTCAGGGGGTATATAACTTAAGAAATTAAGTCGAGGGACTGAGTTTGGGAGGTGTGCCCTCCTGTGATGTTTAAACATTTTATTTTCAAGAACATTCTTTCTGTGCCTGACTATTAGTGTGAGCTGTTTGCATTGTTTGGTGCTATAATTCTCTGTTGAAATTCTTTGTGTATTCCTTTCACCTTATAAATTTTCATAACCTTGGCTGGAAATGAATCCTTTCTCTGTACAGAATCCATACCCACAATATTTGGGCTACATTTTGGCTGGTGAGATGGCGGGGGCAATCAATGCTCTGTACCAACAGAATCTTCTTGAAAAGAAAGCAAAATAGTTTTTTGAAAAGTGATAAGCAAGATAAGATCCAGGCTGAGATAGTCAGTGCCTGATCAAAAATTTGAGAGGTCATAAAAATGAAGCCCTAGATAATACCAGACATGTGAGTGTTAGGAAAAATACTAAACTGAGTGAGTCAAAAGCTTAGGTAAGACTGTAAGCTTTACTCTAGTGTACTGTGGAATATAGTATTGTGAACTTTTTTCTTTTTTTTCCCCTGAGCCAGATCCAAGAGGGAAAGGAGGGCTCTTTCCGTTCACAGATAACTGGGACTCCGTACAGAGTTCTTGAGTTTGTCGATGCAGTTTCCATGTAGATATTCAATAGTAGCAAATGCAATCTCAAGTCTGAGGCAAATACACCCTTCTGTTACATAAGCTTTTACACAGTGTTTCTTGAAATATACAAGTTTGCCCAAAACATTTCATCTGTTTATGTGTTGTGGATTGATATGAAATTTGTTGTCACATTTAGAATAGATTTACTCTAGTCCTTTAGTGTAGTTCTCTAACATTCAAAGATATTGCTGTCCAAAGTGAAGAGGAAAGGAAGGACACACAGACCCAAAACCCTCAGATAGTGTCACTGATGAAAATAGTAATAATATGGATCTGGTTAGTTCATTGGAAAAAATTGAGAGTCAGTTTAGTGATGTTTCCATGAGATCTATTGTTGGAAAGTTGGGTTCATCCTTTTTGTTACAGGTGAGTTAATATCTTACCCCAAATTACTTATTTATCATTAATTTCCACTCTCCCAAGAATTTTAAAAAAATATTTACTATTTAATAAATGTTTGGTAATAATGAACTTAAGAAATGCCTCATATTTGCCTAATTTACTATTTCCCAGACTTCAGCTAAAGTGGTATGTTACCTGTCCTATTGCTTAGTTAAAATTTTTCTTTAAATTCATTTACTCATTTATTCATTCAACAAATATCTTTTAACACATATTATGTACCAGCCACTTTTTAAAAAGCTTCTTCACTCTTCTAAGTCATAATATATTTGAAATCATAGGTAAAGTGGTTTTTGTGTTTTTCTAATATGAATTTATATGAGTACCTAACTCTTAAAAATGTTTAAAGGTCTGTCCATGTTGAACCTAAAATAGTTTCACTGCTTTGGTGTTTATAAAGCACCTTCACCTCCATTGTCTTTGTAGAGTCTCTCAATGACCCATAAAAATACGCACAATTATCCCCACTTTGCAGACGAGAGAAGGGAAACTCATAGAAGTGGGATTCCCAGGGACACAAAGCTCAGGCAGTGACGGCCTCATCTCCTAACTCTGAGTTTAGTGCTGAGCGTGACGCCATTCCGCCCACAAGGCTGCTGGCGTTGTAGAAATGGGGTGGGGAAGAGAAGAATGAAAGAGGGAACTTGAAAAAATACTGTTTTATCTCAGTTGTGAAATCTGTGGTGTGGCTTCTGCTCTATCTTTTGACCTTTGTGTGACAGCTTTGCCTCAGCGCTAAGTAGCTGAAAAGTAATCACCAAGAGATTTAATCCTTTTATCATGATTAAAGTCCCTGGGGAACTTTTAACATTGTGTGTCATTTACAGTTAGTTTTGGAAAGCACCATCTTTGCTTTCTCTGTCAAGTTCATCGAATCTTTTATAAACAATATCGTTTGTTGTGAGAGTAACTTTGACAAAACAAAATTAAGTGAAGAAATCATTGTAAAGATTTAGTTTAGAAAAATCACCAGAGAATTATCTAAGCATAGGAAAATTTTGAAAACAAATTTGGGCAAGTGTTGTATAAATTTCTGTAAAAATGTAATTTGATTTAAAATAATTTGACTTAATTTTTTAGTATGTCTGTGTATATACATATAAACATGTATATATATATATTATATATATAAAATGACTATATTTCAAATATATTTCAATGTGTATTGGAGTTGGTATAGTAGAGAGAGACTGAGTGCTTTGGAGTCAGAGAGGGGTTTCAATGCTGGCATGTTACTTAAACACCGAGTCCCACCTTTAAAATAACAAAAATAGTACTAGTTTTCAGCCCTGGCTGGCGTGGTTCAGTGGACTGAGCGCCGGCCTGTGAACCAAGAGGTTGCTGGTTGATTCCCAATCAGGGCACATGCCTGGGTTTCAGGCCAGGTCCCCAGTAGGGGGCGCGCGAGAGGCAACCACACATTGATGTTTCCCTCCTTTCCGTCCCCTCTCTCTAAAATAAATAAATAAATAAAATTTTTAAAAGAAAGTGTCTTTAAAAAAACACTGATTTTCAGCATTACCATATTAAATAATAAAACGGTGCCTTTTACATAAAAGTGAACAAGAAATGTTTTTACTGCCCCTTATTCCTTACTGAATTAAAATTAAAAGTTGAAGATTTAAAAAAATAGTTTGACATAACTTAGTTTTGTTTTTTTAATTAAGATCAACAGGGGAAGTTTCCATGGTGGTGTCTTACTTTGTTTCATGTGAATCTGCCTTCTGTTGCCTGCATCCACCCATTCCTTCTGAGATCTCTCACTATACCAGTTGGTGTCTAATAGGAGTTTCTGTTACAAGAAAGCTTTCTTCCTGCTGTCAAGAAGGCCATTTAAATACAAGTGGAATTAGCTATAAATTACATTAATGTAATGTGTGAAATAGCTTTCCTAGTCTCTTTATGGGAGTGAATACAAGATGAAATCTCATGTCTAACATGAAATGTGAAAATGTGTCTGTCAGGCACATTTTTAATTTTTTTAAACAACACGTGGATGTATTCATCTTACTTAAGGTTTTCTAATCATCCTGATAAGGTATTTTCTTCATGGCTCCTATAAAGTGTTACTGGAACAAATTATTGTTCCGGCACACGATAGACTGGTTATTCCCAATGAACGTGTGTATATAAGATATTTGGATCTTTTAGAGCAAAATACAGAAAATTACTACAAGGAAAATATTTTCCATATTTGACCATTTTTCTCACTGATTGATTAGAAATGCTTGTTTTCAGACTTGGCAATTGAAACATTCCGCTAATCATTATTGTGTACTAAATTTGAAGGGAGGAGGTCAAAGAAAAAAATCAATTATAAATAATATTCATGTGTCAGGAAGATTTAAAGACAAAAGATGATAGTAATATCCTCACTTATTAGAGTTCACTTTCTTACTCATGAGGCATTTCTGTCAACCTCTGAATTTTTATAATCTTTATATAAAAGAAGCATAGTGGTTGGGAAAAAACTGGGTAAAGGGGTGGCCAAGGATTTGCCTTGAAGTCGTGTTTATACAAGTAACACTGTTTTTTCTTAATTTGTCTTTTTTTTTTTTAAGATCAATAAAATAACAATGTTTTTCTAAAGATGTTTTTACTCACAAGTGACATACAAGTTTTCCTATTTATTAAGTGTTTTTCCTAGGGGAGGTAGCTTCAAGAACCAAGCTAGAGATCGTTGTGGGTGAGCAGCAAAGGGTGCACCCCCACCCCACCTCATGGATCCCCCAGCTACCCTCTGGCAGCCGCTCTGTGATGAGGCGGCAGGGTTCACACAGGCTGGCAGTGATAAAGCAGGACAGGGGAGAGGACCAACACCCTCTTACCACACCAGTAGGGACTGGGGTGAGGGTCTCCCTATCACATATGAGGTGGTACTAGCTGCTCTGTGCTTGGCTAAATGTTCAATGTGACTTGTCACAGTTTAAACCCACAGCCATTCTAGCAAGAAGGTAGGTATCATCCTCCTCATTTTAAAGAGGAGGAAACAGGCTCAGAAAATATAAGTGTTTTGTTCATGCTAGGAAGTCAGGTTAAAACTTCACTCTCAACTCCAAAGCCCACCCCCTTCACTAACACTGCTCTGGTCCTCCCCTGATGAAATACAGATTTACAGTTTCTGAACAGCAAGTAGTGAAGAAAGCAAATCAGGATCTCTGATTTATATTGTGCAGATTGGAAGTTACTTAAATTCCAAGTTTTGTTCTTAAAACACTATTTTCAAAATATTGACAATGTAAAAAGCCAAAGTCTTTGTTTCCATTGATGTTTGCAGCCTGGAGCCACGGAATCGACCTGTGACATTTGACAGGGCAGTGCAAGTGTTAAGCCTCCCTCCCCCAGCGCAGAACCTGCTTGTACAGCAGGAAAGAAAAAACAGTGTTAACAATGGCAGGTCTGGGTAATGTGGTTTGGTCTTCATACCTTCACTCAGGTGGAGCCCGAGAAGCTGAGGACACTAACAGGAGGTTTCGAAGCCTACAGCCGAGCCCGGAAAAGAAACAGAAAGTAAGCGCTATTTTTTTTCCTTTCCAATTTTGTTTTTCAGGAATATAATTTACTGGTTTTTCCTTTAAAAGGACAATGAAGTCTCACTGATTTTGTCCATCTTGTAGCCTGCGTAAAAACAGTTTAATAGTTTTAACCAAAGAGGACCATTGTGGACAAGCCAAATTAGCTAGTACAAAAAATATTTTCTCAACAGTTTATACCGTCTGGGGGGTTTCCCTCTTCGTCAGCTCGTTCCTGACTCCCTGTGTCTCCATCCCCCTGATTTAGTGGGCAAGCCAATATGATTAATATTCTCAACATGTAGCAATTAGATTGTCTGAAACTATAACAAAAGTCTACCATTTACAATTTGGCAAATTAACTGTTATTAGTCAAAATGAAGGTAAATATTTTTTTCTTGGGTCAGGTGCAATAAGTTCTCTTTGGAATTATTACAAGAAGCTGAACTTTGAGACATTATTATTCAAGTTTTTCCAGATCTTTATATTCTGAATAAATGTAGAGTGGACAGGTTAATGATGTTTGAAACACAGTCTCCATTATAATGCAATGTAGTTTTATGTGGCATAACTATTATTTTATTTTGAGGTAAAGGACTTCAAATTTTGCTTCGCTATATGTACATAGAAAATTATTTTAAATATATATAATCGACAGACCTGTTCCATTACTATAGTTTTCATGTTATCAAAATCCAAGAATTATGAAATCGGAATTTTTAGGAGTGTACAGGTCTGTCTAGGAGACATCCAGCCATGTAATATGAAAAACAAGACATTCATCAAAGAAGCTACAAGATACAAGATACATTGTACATAGGACAAGGACGCCTGAGTCCCCTTCAAAGTAGGCACGTTGGGACCTCACACAGTTCTCCCAGTCGCCTCAAGCTGCCCCACGGTGTTTTCCTGTTTCTTATTGAGAGTCTGAAATCCCTTTCCTTTCAAAGGTGATTTTAGTTTTGAGAAAAGCCAGAAATCACAGGGCACCAAATCTGGGCTGTAGGGGGACTGAGTCACCTGGGGGATTTGATGTTTCACCAAAAAACTCTGCATGGCACATGATGCATGAGCAGCCACGCTGTCGTGATGAAGCTGCCAATCACCAGCGGTCCACAGCTGTAGCCTTCTGAATCATCTGAATATTTTCTGAGGACTGTTCAAGCTTAATACAAAATTTGATGGGGATTAATTGCTCTATTTGCTCAGTCATTTTGAATGCAATGGCCACACAGTACACAAGCTCACTCAGTGACATTCGCTGCCCCCAGTGACTACTAGAGTGAAAGTCATCACTGTTCACACATGTGCATTCCAGTCCACTCTCCTTGGAGGCCGGGTTACATCGATGTTGTGCAAACCATTCTTGTTATATTAACAATGGCTGGACTTTTTCTGGACAGACCTCATTGTATCTTGTATTAAAGGTTTATACAATGATATCAATATCTATTAAAGGGTACTCTCCTTCTCTTAGTGGTGTCTTCAGTACTTTCTTTAAAATTTTCTTAATTGTTCAATTACAGTTGTTCCCATTTTCCCCCCATTACTCTTCCCTGCCTCACCCACCTCTACCTCCCACATTCAATCCTCCCTCCCATTGTATCGTGCATGGGTCCTTTATACGTGTTCCTTCACTTGACCCTCTCCCTTCTTTTGCCTGTTATCCCCTCCCCTGTCCCCTCTGGTCACTGTCAGTTTGTTCTTTATTTCCATGCCTCTGGTTCTGTTTTCCTCATTTGTTTGTTTTGTTGATTAGGTTCCACTTATAGGTGAGATTACATGGTATTTGTCTTTTACCACCTGGCTTATTTTGCTGAGCATAATGCTCTCCAGTTCCATCCATGCTGTCGTGAAGGATAGGAGTTCCTTCTTTCTTTCTGCTGCATGCTAGATGTAAACCTTTAGAACTCAACAAATCTTGGGGAGACTCTTGTCATCTCACGGGAACGTCTCATAAAAAGATGTCAACTGCAAGGTGCCAGCTCCTACGCTGGACTCCTTTGGGAGGTAGCAAGTTGGCACTGGCTGTGACAAAGGCTGCGTGAATGGTCAGATTCACTGTAGATCCTATAAGGACACAGGGAGGCAAGTGCCCTCTACTCTGACTGAAGCGACACTTCCTGGGGAGAGTTTAGGATTAGGATAGGCCTATAAATTTAATATAAGATCTGGATGAAAGGAGAGAAATTGAAAATGACCTACATCCCAAATTTGTGATAGGTTGTTTGCTATAGAATATTCAACAGTACTTGTTTAACTGATATTTAAAAAATCCCTAAAATCTTTTCTCCAGTGAAGCATGCAAGTTAGCTGGTTATGTGCAAAATACCCAAAACAGAGTTGATAACATAGAAATGAAGTAACTCCTCCAAATATTCAGGTACACTGCCTTGAAAAAAAATGTGTCTTCCCCCATAAATTTGCCATTAAGCAACTTCTGAAAGGTATTGAGTAACAGTGATTTTTAAAATTTTTTCTTCAAAACCAGTTTACTATTTGTAGTGGATTTAGATATGGGTCCTAAGTGGCATTACCTAAAGGAACTCTGGGTATGAAATCATAAACTTAGAGTATAGATTGAAGAGATAAAGAAGAAATGATGAAGCACACATTAGTAAAAACAGCTCTATTTATGCAATACTATTGTCTAAGTAGACTGCCTTTCCCTGTAAATGCCCAGGAGAATAGATTATGTTTTGCATACATGGTTTGTGCAATCACAGGATGGGCCAGAACTACAAGCCCACTTATAGATGAGGACACCCAGACCCAAATTGCTTAAGTAATTAGGTGAAGTTCACATAAGTGATAAATGATGTGTGGAACCCAGTCATTTATTTACTCCCCAATTTAAGGAGATAATTAACAAATAAATCTGTGCCAGGCACAGTGCTACAGGACCCAGAACTTATTGACGAAGAAGACAGATCCAGAAACCAATAAGTAAAATGTTGAAACTACAATGACAGTGATGTGTATAGAATATGTTGGGATAGTAGAGAAGTGGCATTAAACTCAGGTAAAGGAAGCCAGGCTAGAGAAGATGATACCTGAGCCAAGCCTTACACTACCTGGGTGTTAGCCAGACAAAAGAAACAAGGACCAACATGGGATGCGGTGGGATGTGTTTAGATGAGATCAGCAGCTGGAACTGGGGACTATAAAGTGTCGAACAGGAAACTGTTAGAGATGCAACCAAAGATGTAAGGAGGAACCAGAGGGTAGGGACCGAATGAGGGCCCATAGGGCCTTTTATCTTATTGGAAGTGCCTGAAGGAGACAGGTGGCTGGATTTTCACTTTAGACATGGCTGTGTGGAGGATAAATTTTAAGGGAACAGTTTTGGAGAGAGAGAGAGTGATTGTTTAGGAGACCATGGTGGAAGAGAAGGGAGGATGAGGACTCAGCCCAGGAAGAGAACCATGTGGGTGGAGGAGGAGGGGTGTGGTATAGAAATATTTGGGAGGTAAAATTGACAAACCGCCATGGTGATTGACTGGCATGCAAAGGAGAGTAAGCAATCAGGGTTTCGGTTTGGGTGCCTTGGTGGGTGGTGGAAACCCTGACTGAACAGGAGAAAACAGGGAGAACCACCGCGTGCTGTGTGGGGTCCCTGTGGGACAGGTTGGACACAGGGCTCTGAAACTGGGAAGAATTTGTATTTGACGGTGTAAAAAATGGCTGCGATCACGCAGAGATACTTTGACCAATTTGAATGGTGGGCCAAGGACTGAGTACTGGGGCATTTGAACGTTACTAGAGGTATTGAACAAGATGAGAAGAATGGTCAGCAAGGAGGGAGAGAATCAGGGGTAGAAGAGTAGGGTGCTGGAAGCCAAAGATCAAACATTTCGGGCTGATGAAATGCTCCACAGAGGCCCAGTGAGACAAGGACTAAACAGTCTCCACTGAACTAGGCAATTTGGAGCCAGGGCTAGCCTTAGGGAAAGCAGTTTCCACTCGAGTAGTGGGTGGGAAAACCAAGTGGCTCTGGGTTTCTACCATTCATGTGAGAAGTTCCTGAAAAATAACAATGGAAGAATTTTTCAGATTACAAAGGCTTGACTGCTTTTGTAGACTGAGAAAGAAAGAAGAAGGGAAGAGACTGAAAGGGAAAGATGGTATTTGGAACAAAATTGTTAGGAGGCTGGTTTTTGACCCGAGCTGAAATCCTGTTACTTTCACTTCATTTTTCTGTGCCCTGAGGTATGTTGCTTAACCTCTCTGAGCCTAAATTCATTTCTAATATAGACGTGTTTATATCTACCTCTTAGGATTTTTGTAATATAGATAATGTAATTAGAGCCTTAACGCAGTACTTGGAACACAATCAATATTTAGTAAATAGTTATTTGTTACAGAGATACAGGTGAAAAAAACAAAATTATCTGATCTTTTTGCCAGTAGAAACATTCTACCGCCATATTAAATGTTTAAAACTTTATGTAGTCATTTTAATCCTCAGTATCCCACAAACTGTACAATAAAAGTATCTTTAAACTTACATGCTAATTACAGCCTAATCACAAAAGAAATATTAACATATTTATTGAAGACAATACTCAGGGTGATTTTGTACTTAAAGGAGGCAAGAGCTTTAAGAAAAAATTCCATACCTTTTAGACATGTTATGGTGTTCATTTAAGTGAGGATCAAATCTGCTGTCTTATATGCACATATACATTATTTGGTAACCTGATTTTCATGAAGCTGGAAAATGATAAAGTAATAAGATAAACCACACTTTTACTTTAAAACCAAGAAATGATACTTAGTGTGTAAAATTGTCTTACGTCTGCATACTTTCTCTATGGATTGCCTTTCAGAGTCTAACATTCTTCACGTCTGTCTTACCCAAATTTGTTCTGTTCTACATTAAGTTGCCCAAATTTTAAACTGACAGCGTAGAGAGACATGCAATTTCTCACTTCCCTTTATTTCTTGTACCATTCTCAGATGTGTACCTGGCTTTATTTTTTTTTTATTATTGGTGATGATAAGGATTACCTATATTGGTCTCACAATATAGGTAATAAAGATGAGACGTGACAATTATCTCCATTACTAACTAGAAATGTGATTATATGAACATCTATTGCTTAATGAAGTAGGTTTTAGAGTGTCGGTTAGTAAAAATGTTTAGTAAGTGTCAGCAGGGGATAGAAGATAGTAGAAGAGGCACCACAGGGAGGCCCTCTGGACTGAAGGACCGAATTTTGACTAATTGTTCATTTCAGGAACTCACGGAGTTTTTTTCTCCCTTTTTTAAGTTCATTTTTTCCTGACCTGACAAGTGAGTGTAAAAATTGGTCTGCAAATTTGACATTCAAGTAATTTCATGCTCCACACTTCTGTACCTATTCTCTCTTCCAAAACAGTCATTTCTTCCTCCAGTAGCTACTTAAGTTTGTCAAAGAAAAGTAGTGATTTTGTACTTAAAGGTAGAAAATATTATACTAATTTAGTTTAAGTAGAAGATATTTACAAACATTTTAAATATCTTGTTGAAGAATGAGATCACAAACTCCAAAATTCTATCTTTTCATTTCACAAGCAATGTTGAATTATTTATGTAATTTAATGGTAATGGTATTGTAATGTTTTATAGTTGGTTAAAAATTTTCATGCCTCTTTGTTTATTACTTTTGAAAACTATTGTATTTAATACCCATCTTCTTCATTACAAAATTAGAATTGGTTTCACCAATTCTCCTTAAAAAGTCATGAAGAATTGCATATAAACAGTTGTCGTAATACGTAATATTAAGGATTGTTGTATGGATTAAATAAGATAATGTATATAAAGATTTAACAAAATTCTTGGCACATAGAAAATTTTCAATAAATAGTAGCTATATTATTTTATTAAAGTAAAGGTGAGAGAAACAAGATTCTCTGATGGCTCTTTTATGGAAACACTATATTTTCTCTTTAGACATTTAGAGCTTTATGTAGTCAATTTGAAACCCATAAGATTTTATAATCAAAATACATAACAAATAAATATCTTTTAAAACTTATGTTCATATTTTTCAATACAAAAGAAAATAGTAAAAATGAATCTAACACATTACACGAGGTGCAATACTGTTGAGCAATTTAGCAACGTGTGATACTATCAAGACCTTCTCTATACAGCCCACAAAAACCTCAGCCAAGCTTCCAGGCCCTGCAGAGTCCTGGGCCCGAATTCCTGCCCAGTCACCCAGAATCATGCTCAGCGAACTCCTCACTGGGAAGACAAGCCAGATTGACTCCTCAAGATGCCCAGGGCCTCTTAAAACCCAGAAAGGGTAGGTGAGAAAAGACAGTGTATAAATAGGTTATATCAACAGTGCTCAAAAACAGTGATAAGGTGGAAAAAAGATAAGTTGCAGAGTAGTGTGTATATCGGGACAACTTTTCTGTGTGTGTGTGTGTGTGTATTTTTTACTGAACTTATTGGAGTGACATTGGCTAATAAAATTACATGGGTTTCAGGGTACAATTCTACAACACATCATCTGTATATTGTATTGTGTGTTCACCACCCCAAGTCAAGTCTCCTTCCATCACCATTTATCCCCCCAGTACCTCTCCTACCTCCCCCCACCCCTCTTACCTTCTAGCAATCACCGTGTTGTTGCCTATATCTATGAGTTTTGGGGGGTTTTGTTTGTTTGCTTGCTTAATCCTTTCACCTTTCTCACCCAGCCCTGCAACCCCCACCTCTCTGACAGCTGTCAGTCTATTCTCTCTATTAATGAATCTATTTCTATTTTGTTTTCTAGTTTATTTTGTTGATTAGATTCCAAAAACCAATAACACAATACTAGGTACTGTTCATGGATATAGTACATAAAATGTGAGAACATTCTAGAAGGATATACAACACAGTTGCCTTTGGAGAGGAGGGTGGGAGAAAATTGGACCAGGAATTGATAACAAATGAGAACTTCAGCTTTATTTAAACTTCAGCTTTTAAATAAACAAGACTTAAAATAGGTCATTTATTAACAGGTAGTTCTTGGAAATGAGTTTGTTAAGAGTTGTTAATTTATTTTATGCACTTTTCTGCATTGTTTACATTTCTAAAAATAAATGGGAGAAATGTAAAAGCTAGAGTTTAGCTTACAGGTCAGCAAAAGCTTGGTGGGAGGGTTTTGGCACTATATTACCCTTATAATTTAGGTAAAACTGACATATTAATCTTTCCTTTCAGTTAAACTGACTTAAGTGCATACTATATGTTTTCCAAAATGTCAGGCCATCTTGCTACCTTTGGCCACATATTTTTATTTAGTAAATGTAAGCATCTATGATGTGCCTAGCTGTACACTACCCCGGGATGGGAGACTCCGAGTTCTCCAAGGTGTACACAGAAATTAAATGTGTAAATTGCCCAGCCCTGGTACACGAGGCTAGAGCCTGGTGAGGGCTGTGGTAAGCTGAAGGTCTCATCTAAAATGCATTCCTCTAAGGTTCACCTGCGTATTTAAACATGCTGTGAGCCAAATTAAATGGGACTGTGAGACAAATTCTTCCACAGTTGTAAACCCGATCTCCATGTAACTGCTGAAATATGTTTAACTCTTGGAAAGCCATGCTAATAGCCTGTTATGAAAAGTTTTTACCTCTGCAGCTTTTCTAGTTGTTGTCATGACAAAATAAACGAAATGAATCACCTTACTCAGAATAATTGAGTAATTATTCATATGTATAAAGAAGGGGAAACAGGCTAACAGAATGGACAAAGGGCACATAACTACAGCAATGGATAGTATGGATTTGCCCGATTTTAGTTCAACAGCTTCCTAGATCTAAGTTTCCATACAGGCAGATGTACCGTGTGTGTTGTTAAGCCGAACATGTATAACGGAATGCTGAGTGGGGAAGAAAGGTCGCACAAGTGCCAGACACTCTGAAACCGCCATTCTTTATCTGTTCAAATAGTTGTGCCATTTTGATTTTTGGGAAAACGTGGTGGGCCCAGGCCTGCAAGGAGCCTCGGGTGTGGCGAGTTAACCGTTTCCCTTCTGGCTACCGGCGTTCATTTGTTCGACTCCAGAAGCAAGGAGCTCCAGAGAGGGCGGAGGGCGCTCCCTAGTGGCCAGAGCCTGCAATTCACCCCCTCCGCCCTTCCCCTTGGCCACGCAGCCTGGCTGCCTGAAAAGAAGCAGCCAGACAAGAAGCAATGCAGGGCAGACTGCAATGTGGGAAGACAAGCTGCATCTGAGGAAAAGGAGACCCGGGGCCCGAATTTCTTGCAAAATTATCAGACTGTGGAAGAAGCACATGGAAGGGGAAAGAATCCATTTCCTCCGTCGTGCGTTCATTCCCCCCCCGCCCCGCGCAATAACTCTGCTACTTTATCATCGGTATTCAGTGGTGAGAATTCCAGAGTGCTTTGTCATCTGAATTTTTCAAATGCGAATATCAGTTGATTTTCTCTGGTGGAATTGGTATTTCTGTTTTCTGATTAGGGAATTAAATTGCACTTTTGTTTCTTTAATCTATTAATCTGATGTATTGTTTTCATTATTTCTAGAAGTGGAAAGCTAAATAACCATTTGGAAGCTGCTATTCATGAGGCCATGAGTGAACTGGACAAAATGTCTGGGACTGTAAGTTAATTTATTTTCCCATTGTATTGTGTTTCTTTGAAAATAAATTGTATTTATTTTCACCTCTTTTTTGGTGAAACCTCGAAATATCATCAAGCACCTCACATAGCAATGCTAAATTACTAAGCTCAAAAAAAGACTGATATCAAAAAAGATTCAAAGTAATTTAAGACAAAAATAACCTAGTAGTATTTACTATGTCTTTTTCTGATATAAGTAACTGTTGGGGTCCCCCCCCCCATAGCATCCTTTTAAAATGTGAGCAGAAAATATTGAAGTTTAAACCACAGCTTTCTGCGCTGACTCTGAATAGCAGTGACCATTGATGTTGGCGAAAAATACTCAATAATGCGAATTTCACTCTGTCCCTAATACAAAAAGTGAAATTGAACAACCAGGTCAAGATCAAGAGTATATAGACCTCTCATTTCCTTTCTACTGTTACCTAAAAAATAAAATATTTGGCACAAAATTCTCTTATAAATTAATTAACACTATAACCTCTGGCTTTAAAGAAGTAGTGTCTATTTTTCTTTACTTTACTGAACAGTGCATATAATAGTGTTGACTGTGAGCAATTTAAGTGTTATCCTCTAATTCCCTAATGTAAACACTTAAAATATAATTTGGGGAATCTATTTAAAAATGCGAATTATCTAAAGCTATTCAGCTATGTAAGGTCATTTCTTTTACTTGATGCTTTGTGTTAACAACGTTACCTGAAACCCATCCCGTGGTTATTGCACGACAGATACACGTTACAGATTCCCAGAATGTTGGGATTGGTGTGGGCTTTAAGACTGTGTGATACAACCTGTCATTTCACAAATGGGTGAACTGAGGCCCTGGGGTGTTAAATTTCCTGATAGAATGACAGGAAAAGTCTAGACCGGGGATCATATACTCAGCCTTCTAGGACCAGACAAATACTATCAATATGTAAGGTGGGGTAGGTAGGAGAAAAACAACAATTTGAATGGCTTGAGAAATGCCAACAAAGAGGCACTGGTCAAGGTAGACTGCCTGCCAACTGGCAGTCTCAGAGGCTCAACACAGTAAAGGTTCAGTCAGATCTGGTTCTAGTTGGGAAAGGTCTTGCTCTACCCAGTTACTTAGGGGCTCAGGTTCTTTCTGTATCTAGTGTCCACTATTCCTTAGAGCCACAGAGTGAGTGCTCCCTGACATCCTTCACATCCCACCCAGCCACTGAGAGAAGGCAGTGTATACAGAGGGCTACCAGGATAGGTTTTATGGGCCAGGCCTGGAAGCTCATCACTTCTGCTGACTTTCCTGGTCTGACCCCATCGGATAGCCCTCTTGACATGATACCATGTGCCTGCTCAGGAAGAAGAGAAAATGGGTTTGGTGAGCACCTTACAGAGTCCGCCTCAGGACACTGGGCCTCTGTAGCCCGCCGGGGCCGCAGCAGTGGGGACTGCGGCCACCCTGAGGGTGTGCTCTGTCCAGAGGGCGCCTTTTTCTGGCTCCCGCAGGCCTGAGCCATACGGGGAACTGTGCCAATGTTGCAAGACCTTCCTATTTTTTGTGAGATGCTAAAAGTCTAGAAATAAAATTTCTGTCTCCCTTTTTCTAGTGACAACTAGAAACTATTTGACAACTATTTTTAAAATATCAAATCATCATATGGCTAAACAAAATACCTTTTCAGGCCACATTTGGCCTAGGCCTTACTAATTTACCTTCTTAAATAAAGGCTTCTTTCCTCTATTATAAAACTGTTTCAGTTATAGCTCCTTAACAGAAACTAGTTTTTTAAAATGTATACAAGGGGTGAGAGAAAAGAGGCAGTTTGAAAAACTTATAAATGTTGTGGTAAAAATTTAAATATTATTTCTGAAAAAGTTTTCCGCATTTGACCCTGAAGAGCATTGGCCTTTGCCATTATATAAACATTATTTTTAAAACAGACAATAGGGCCAGCTTGTAGTGGATCTCAAGAGCGGATTGTGCATATGTCTCCCTAACTCTAAGTTCTGTGACATCACACTGGCAGCTTGAAATTGACCAATGTAGAAGTATTTACACCATGGAAATTGGCTTGTGCCACAATGTGCTTTTGTCCCTCCCCAGGGAGCTGGTTGTTGAGCATTTGCTACACTGCTGCCTTCGGTCTACCCTGCCTCTCCTGGGTCTTGACTTTGCCCTCTCCTATTAGTAGCCACTATACCACAGGGGGCACCCAGTCACCCCTCTAGCACCTGCCCTCTGCCCCTCAAAACCGTTCCTGCTGTCTGATACATTCTCTGCAAATGCTTCCCCCTGCTCATACAGCCCTGAGTCCTGCTAGTTTCTGTGTTAGTTTATAAAGATGAGTTGTATTAATTGCTCTTCCCAGACTACACAGGCTTAGATCTGCCAACAGATGGTAGTGGTGTTCTATTTTCCATCCTGAGTCTTGTCATAAATAAACTTCCTTGGGCTGAGGTTCTTATACTCATTGACCCTTCTTAGTAGCTGTAAAATAAGTAGGATGATGGGGCAAAGAAGAAAACATGATTGGTGTGCATTTATCCACTCTCCAGGTACTAGTGAAATTGATGATCTGGGGCTCTCTGACAGGAAAGGCCTTATTTTCTTTCATCTTAAATGAACAGCAGCAGGAGCAACTGTCCTCTGCATTTCCCACACTTGAATTTTTCCAGTTCCTCCTTTATGGTCCACTGTTTTATGTTCCACTGTTTTTCCACTGTTATGTTCCACTGTTCCACTGTTTTGGGGTCCACAGGATGTGCTCTGCTTAGGAGTTTCCAGGATTTGTCTGTAATGACTGTAGGTACATTGAGATCTAGGGTCTTGGTAACAATTGTAAATGTCCCACGATAGCAAAGATTGAAAATGAAAGCCTGAGTTTGTTTCCCTACTCTGTTTCTTTACCAGAAATCATGCAGTATTTATGACTTCAACCTCTGTTGTTGTTTTGTCCCGCCTCTTTATTTCCAGGTTCACCAAATCCCACAGGGAGACAGACAGATGAGACCCCCCAAACCCAAGAGGAGGAAGATCTCCAGATAACAGGGGCTACTCCACCATGCACAGTGTTTATTAAAGGAATGTGCACAGATGTATCTCTATATAGGTATTGATATAGCCACTGTTATATCAATATTTATAGTATGGCAAATAGCTACCAACACCACAGGGTGCTAAAAGAAGCAATGATACAATATTTTTTTTGATCAGGAAAGATAATGAATGCTGGAAAAAACAATCAAAATCCCTGAATAGTGAGAGTGATAAATGGTCAAGAGATTACTGAGAAACTCTTTTTTCTATAATACAAAAATTGTGATTATAAGAAATAGTCCAAATGTTTCTGAAGAATTTTCAATGTTGTATATAGAAAATACAGAATTTCATGGCGATATCAGAAATGTAAATATTGTACAATATTGTCATGTACAAGCGTACCTAATGCACACTTTATCTTTTATTGTACAAAGAAATAGTGTACAAAATTCTTTGGTTTCTATGGAGTACACCTACCAGAGACTACCAGTGTAAAGTGATAAATAAAAATACAACCTAAATGCTTTTCTATGATAATGTAAAAGATGCTGTTTTTGTATTTAACAGCAGAGAAAAGGCATGATGATGTATTACCTGAATTACGACATACACTGCACACCACCAAGTGTCCGTTGATATTGTCTGTTTGGAATGAACCTGGCCTGGAGGCGCCGGACTGGACTTCGGGTGTCTAGGAAATGGAAAGCTTGCAGATTTCTAAAGGGATGAGGGCTCACAGGTCTAAATTAAGAATTCAGAAACTGCAACCATTTGTTGCATATTTTTTTTACCTAAGTTTTAAAGTAGAATAGGTTTTATAAAAAAATCTTAGATGGAATATTTTACTCAGTCATTTCTCTAGGTAACATTTGGTAGCCACCTAGCGGACTAGATGGTTAATGCTGCACCACCGCTGATGCTCGGAGTTAAGTTTTTTGCAGACCGTACCTGACAAGGCAAAACCTTCTGTTCCCGTGCATGGAGGCTTAAGCCCCACGTTGAAATCCTTATCAGAGGTAAGGCTGATTATAATTCAGTTTTTCTTTAGTGGCAAAAAGAAATACGAATGAGCAAAGCAAATTTCATATATCCGTTCATCAACATTACTTAAACCAGAAGTAAGGTGGCTTACAAAGTTATTAGCAATGGTAATTTTTTATCAGTATTATGTAACATATCAGATTTATTTTATTTAAAGAATTATTTATACCATTAACAGATTCTTATATATATATATTAATGCGGCTAAATGTGCAGGTTAAATCTATTAACCAAATTATTTATATTATATTAAGTAAGAAAAAAATGGAAACAAGTGTAGAAAGAAAATACTACATTGCAAGTATACAAACCTAAAACTGTGAGCCATTGTAAAGTACAAGGTTATTAATAAGAAATGTAGCACAACATAATTTTCCGTCTTTTTTTCACGATTTTTGTAGTGGCGGTATAACCTTATCTCCCAGGCAGTTGAGCAAATTTTCAGGCCACCCGCCCGACCTCTGTTGACGAATTGTCAAAAGAAGTCCATTATCCCTTTATTCTTATTACTACCAGCCCCCATCCCCAAATCCTTACACCCCTGGGGAGCGCTGCCTTGTCCCCCCAGCCAGGGACCCACTCAGCAGCTTAAAGATCGGTCTGCTGGGAGGCCCTGCCTAGCTGACCCTGACTCCCAAATCCCGCCACCTCCTTTGCTCCTCCTCTCCCATCCTTACCCAAACCCCTCCGTCCCAGTCCCATGACGTAGCAGAGTTCCAGTAACTCAGGAAAAGGGAGACCAAGGTCATCCCTCCAATTGGTTTCTTGGGGCCACGGCACAGAGCACTGCACCTGGGCTCACTTTTAATATCAACAGCTCTTAATTCTTCCCCCAGGTATCATGTGTCTCTGTGCCCTTCCCACTCCCACCCTGGCCCCTGCCCCCAAGCCTGCCGCATGCCACAGGCCACCCCGGCCTGGTGGCCTGGAGGCAGGCACCCTTCCTTCGGGGGTAGGTTCATTTTGCCCTTCGTACAATGGTGGGACGGCTGGCCAGTCCTTCATGTAGGCACCCCAAGTAATCTTGTGTGTGGTTTAGTTGGCACATTTTTGTCCTAAGTTGATGTTTTTGGTATGTTAAAACCATTTGTGTTGTCCATTTTCCTGCACCAACCTGCTTTTCTACTGTTTTGTTTACACGATTGTTTTTATTCACAGATAGGTGCCGACGTCTGTGTGTTGGGGCGGGGTGTGTGTATGTTATATGCAGAGGTTTTTACAGCCTTTGCTTTTTGTCTCCAGACTGCATTTGTGTCGACCAAGCCTTCTTTTTTGGTATTTTAAACTACCTGGGTTTGTGCTTCCCCCATCCATGTATACTTTACATAAGCAGACCATGTAAAGTATGTTTGTGCCCATGATTTCACTGGTTGCTCACGGCTTTCATGTGGGTATTAGGTGTTGTTTCAGTCCACATGGGGTTTTTTTCGCCCTTTCTCTTTTACAGTTATATGGTTTCGTGTAAGCAGTCAATGTAAATATTGTTAGCATTACAGGTCATGCAGTGCTGTAACATTTTTTTTTAAATGTTGCACCTACTTTACAATTAAAAAGTGGTCACCATACTTGAATTTTGCCCATAGAGCCATTTCTTTCTCTTTGTATTGAAGCCAATTTATATTTTTAAAGGAAGGCTAGCCCTTCGACATTCATGCATTTTTTTATCCTCTAAAATAAACATTTTTCCCCAACATATCTGAGAATGGAAACAGATTGAAGAATTTTTGCTCCTTTAAAGAACATAATAGTCCCCCTTGAAAAAGGAAATCTAATTTCCTTCTGTTCCCCTCCCAGTCTTAGGAAGCACAAGGAGAATAACCTACACCGTTAAGTAGTTTCCAAAGATTATTTCAAATGAGTGAAAATTAACAGAGGAACTCTTGTTTGATTTGTCTTATTTGTGGCATTAAAAACAATCAGGGTTTTTATTTATTTAAAGGAACATTTTTGGTTTGTACCTTTCAGTTCTGCTGTGAATATAAATGCTTTAAGAAGACTATTCATCCCTTGTGATATCATGGGCCACTTTTAGTCTTTTATTTAGACCCTGACTTTGAGTTATTTGCTATGTCTCTTTTTGTTTTTGTTTTTGTGTTTTGAGTAAACCCAACCTTCTTTTTTTGAACATAATGCAGTAGAATTGGGGGAGGATTGGAGGGCAGTCCTTTTGTTTCTGTACATTTTAGGAAGATTCTCACCTGCCTTCTCCCCGAGGGGATTCAGTCTTCACTTCGGGCCAAGGTGACACATGGTGGTTCCCTCCAGTCATCTGCCATGCGCTTTGCAGGGCTCCCTTGGAAGTCACAGGCAGTTTTGCACTGAGATTTTAAAATCTAAGATGCTTAAGATGCTGGTGACATCACTCTTTCTCAAAAGAAAGCCAAGGATTCTAGACCTTGCCAAAAATGTGATTATCTTGTTTACTTGGCCCGTTTATGCCCAAATGATGTAATAATGCAAGACTCAAGATTGGTCACTGTAGTGTATAAAATGAGTTATGCATTACTTGATCCATTTGGGGGCTATGAACAAATAATACCAACCGGTCATAACTGTAATATTGAATTAGTTTATCTTTTTCTTTCATTCACTCTCACATTTGCATTAGCCAAAGAGATAAGAACATTAGTAATTCATATGTGTAAAAAAACCCCGAAGTGATTATTGAATAAGTGAGCCAAAAAGCAATAAACAAACATGGGATATCCTGCTACCAGTGGGGAGTCTGATACAGAAGAAATATACAAAAAGGATTTTCTTAAATATAAAAGATTAATTTGTATCTACTGTAAATATGTATTATCAGCCTTATCTGCTTTTATACACACTGTGTGTGTACTTCAGTGACCTTTTATAAACCGGAAAAATGGTTGATTTACTAATTTGCTATGTAAATACAAAGTTGTCTATAAATTGGAAAGTTTGATGCCAGATGGCTTCACAATATACAACTGTGTTTTGTAACATCATGCCTTTATGGATTAAGTATAAATACACTGGATTGTCTGTGTAGAAGAGTAGCAATTTACATTTCACCTGCATTTCAAATGAACATCTTTGTCCAAATGGTTATAATCTTAGGAGAAGAAAATGACGTGAACATTTTCAATGTGAAAAACAAAGATGATCTTGAATTCACCAAAACTCCTTTCACACTCAAGGGTCTTTTCAATTCCATGCTAAATGCCTTATATGTGAGATTTCCACAGGAAATTCATGGATCCGCGTCAGGGCTCTACCTAGGAAACTTCTCCAAACTGAATTATTCTATGTTAAAGACAGGCTGGGCATCTTACTTTCTAAATCATGGGCAGAGAATGAACGACAGCCACCTTATCGCTTTGAGTTTATTCTTTTCTGCTTTATTTCCTTGCGTCTTGGAAAACACCACACAGACAAACGGCCTAGTTCTTGTGGGCCGAGAGTGTCCTATCTACTCAGGGCCTGCTGGCCTTGGCTCTGCGAACGTTCTGGGTGAGATCACTCTGTGTTGTGGGGGCCGTCCTGTGCATTGTAGGATGTTTGGCAGCTTCCCTCGACTCTACCCACCAGATGCCAGTAGCATCCCTTCCAAATGGTGACAATCAAAAATGACTCCACATGTTGCCAAATGTCTCCTGGAGTGGGAGTCGGGGGTGGGGGCGGGAGACAAAGGGAGCTTTGAGAGCCACTGCCTGCGCGGAATCAGTTAGGGAACATATGTCTGTGGAAAACATGGGCATGTTTTGCCTGCTGTAATCAACAGGAAACTGATTCCTAGATCAAAATCCAAAACAAAATCCATGCCAAGTGAGCGCTTTTCAATCCCTGGTTAAGGAAGTGGATACGTTAGCTCTGGTTTCATTTTGAACACATTTGACACTTTGATCATGAGACCCAGGACAACCATGTTTTGAGAACTCCAAGGTAAGGCTTAGGAGAGTAACTAAATACCATGGTTCTGAGTCTTAGAGAGGACTGATAGCCCACTTCGGGTAATGCAAGGAGGAGCTTCCAGTAGTGGAAGACTTCCCAGGGATAGTGTAGCTGCCTCTCTTGGTCAAGATGAGAAGTAGGTTAGGGGACCATGCTATGCATGTATTTTGACAGCTCTCTACAGCAGCCTGGGTCCCGAATGGGTAGTTTTTGTATGATCCTCTTATTTATACGTTTTTATAGAAGTAGTTCAATAGATCTTATAGATATCATGGATAAATTTATTCATTCAGTAAATATTTATGGACTCCTACTCTATGCCATATCCTGTGTGTGGCAATGGGGATATAACAGTGAATAAGACAGACACCATTCTCCGCCCTCACAATAGCTGCCCAAGGAGATGGACAATTAAACATGTAAATACAATAAAAGGTGATAGGGCTGGAATAGGGGAGACCATCACGAGCCTCTGGTCTAACTTCATGGGGATGGGGCTTCCGTGACGATCAAGGAAGATGAATAGGATTAGTCAGGCAAAGGAGAAGTGTGTGGCCTAGAGGGGGTAAAAGAGAGTGAGTGTGAGGCAGAGGGAACAGAAGCGTATGGCTTGGAGAGGGAAGTAAGAGAGAAGAGTAAAACACAAGAGGAAGTTAGGAAAAGGGAGCAGAGGGCAAAGTGAGGGTCTGGACAAGTC